GGCTCGGGAGAGGCGAAGGTCGAGTCATGCATCCTCCGAAACATGATCCACCAAACCGCGCTTCTTAACACCCGCTCGCATAACCCGGAAGCCAGCCGCACCAATGTGTCGGAGGAAACACTGTTCAACTGACGACAAAGTCAGCCTGCAGGCGCCCGGCCGCCACAAGGAGTCACTAGAGCGCGATGAGCCAAGTAAAGCCCCCCCGGCCAAAACCTCCCCTAACACGGACGATGCTGGGCCAATTGTGCGCCGCCCTATGGGACTCCCGGTCACGGCCGGTAATGACACAGTCTGGGCTTGAACCCCAGGCTGTACTGATGCCGCAACACTGCGATGCAGTGCCTTAGACCGCTGCGCCACTCTGGAGGCCATAAAGGACCAATTCTATTCCGTAAATGTTTTCTTATCAAGTGTAAGAGAAGCAAATCTCAGACGTCAGACCGTCGGTCCGTTTGCACTGGGCCGGCTAGAAAGCGGCAGCTGAAGTGAGAAAGCTAGGGCACTGGGTGTCGGGAGATGAGCCTCTCTCAGTTGCTAAGATCCCCTATAAAGATGGTTACGCTATTTTCCTACTGACTGGCACAAATCACCAGCTGCAGCGCATTCCTGTAGCTCCCTTGACAAAGACGGGAGAGGAGCTGACATTTAAACACAGTGAATCCTGTAGCTCCCTCAACAAAGACGGGAGAGGAGCTGACATTTAAACACAGTGAATCCTGTAGCTCCCTCGACAAATACGGGAGAGGAGCTGACATTTAAACACAGTGAATCCTGTAGCTCCCTCGACAAAGACGGGAGAGGAGCTGACGTTTAAACACAGTGAATCCTGAGATTCGGGCCTGACCGTCTGATCGTCTCTTCCTCCCCTTTCCTACCCTCTCACGCACTGACACATTCATTGGTGTGTGTGTGTGTGTGTGTGTGTGTGTGTGTGTGTGTGTGTGTGTGTATTTGTGTGTGGTTTAAAAAGTACTTCAGTTTGCACCGCCGACACGCCATCATGTGGCATGGCAAATCAATGCGCAGGACAACAAGTGGAATATTCCAAGACAGGCGGCGAGATGAATGGCTTGTTTCTACCTCTCTGCGTGCGCTTTCACCCATGTACAGCTAGCTAGTGCACGCTTGGCAAAAAAAAGAAAAAAAGGTCCCGCCGGTAATTAGATGATTAGCACAGTTTCCCCCGCTCGGGCCCGAACAGCATATGAGCTGTCTGCCCACCATTCAAATGAAGTCCTCATCAAGTCCTAATACAATCACAGTGCATACAATAAAGACTGAGCAATGACGAGCGCTGAGGCTAGAAGGGAGCTAAAGACAATGGGACTCTTGTTGAATGGCATGTGGGTACAAAGAGGCCATTCTCAGAAGTTAGCCAAAGCTGCTGTTCTGAATCGGGAAGAGACTTCTGTGTCCTGAATTCCTGAATGGTCTTAGCCGTTAAGGAGAGCTATGGTTCAACACATGCAGTTCCTAGGCTTTAACTCCTTTGGAACCAGACAGGCCCCAAAAAACAGACAAAGAACAGCAAATATCCAACATGGAGGAGAGGAGAAAATATCGCTCCTGCAGATCTGAGGCCCACAGATTCCTGTCTGCCTAAGTCTCATAGATAACCACCATATCTCATGAACAAAGAAGAAAGAGAACAGCGAGCTTCAGAAAGCTTGGCACATGCCTCCGTCTCCCCCTCTCTGCTGCTGGAGATGTCTTGGAGTGAATGGGGCATTAATGCAGAATTAATTAGCCCAACTTCCCCATCCGTCCATCCGTCCGTCTGCCCCATTGAGACAGCAGCTAGCCCCCCACCACATCCCCTCTCTATACACATGCCAGACCACCTCTTACTATGCTGCACTAAAGCTAATGCTACGTAGCCTAGCCTCTGCTGCTCAAAGTGGCAAAAATAAATAAATCTGTCCAAATACGAGATTTAGAAATTAGCTAATCTGTTTTATGTTTCGCATATTGAAAGGTATTAGGATTTAAAATGCCCATGCTGAAATGCGCTGGCTTGTTTAGTGAGAGAATGAGTTTTTGTTTGTCAGATGAACAACAAAGAAATTGAGAAAGACGGAGGCATAGAAGGTCCTCAAAGCAGTCAAGACGACAAATGGGCCAGCGTATTTGTTTTTGTTTTGTGATCGTTCATGCTTCAAAATCCTCAACTGGAACCAGACAATATGTTCCAAAACTGTACATTTGTAAGGATTTCGGGGAGAGCTCAGCGTTGACAATGCACTTTAAACAGATTACCTGAATTTGCGGTGCAAATTAGGTTTATGAGATATTTACCCACGTAGGGTGAATGCTGTTCGACAGAAATCTTACAATGTTTCCCCATCTGAGAACCTTATCTGCTTTGTTTAATCCAATAAACCAGTGAATAAATGGTTTAAAAGAAGGTCATACCCAGTGAAATTAAAAAGGCAGTGTATTGTATCAGACTATCTGATCCCGGCTGGGCTAGTCCTTTGGTACTGGGGGGCTGTGCCAGCTGTGGGATTTCTCTAGTAGGTCATCTACATAGCAGACACACAAACTTGCTATTACTCGCTGATATCAAACACTATGACAATGAAGCATTTTTATGAATGGGCCCCAACCTCAATTACAATGAATGGTACAGTGTGTGCATGTGTGTGTGTATTTGTGTCTCTGTACCGCTGCACTTACGAAAGAGAGCGTGGTGACACAGTCATTGTTATAATCATAGCTATGGCAGTCGGGTGGTTAGTGGGATTTAGGGAGGGGGGGAAAGTCCCAAACAGGGTTGAGTGGGTGGGTGGTGGTGGGTGGTGGTGGGGGGGGGGCAGTAACCACAACAAAGGTTGTGGTTTATCCCACAAGCGCCTTAAATAGCTCCAAATTATTGTTATTCCTCAGCCTGTGGAAGGGGAGGGAAATATAAAACGGCTGTAACATTAGAAGAGCCAAAAGTCAGCCGGTAGATATTGCCAGATTGAGTTACTCTCAGCAAAAAAAACCAGGCAACACAGCAAACCACCATCTTTGTGTGTGTGCACCGTTACAAAGGAACGGCAGGTATCTTTTCCCTTTCTCTGCACCTCGTTTTACAGCTGTGGCTGATGATCTAAACTGGCAGCAAACCAGACTGGTGTGCTGTGCTCTGTGTGTAAGGCCAAGTCATTTCAAAACCCCTCTTCGCCCAACCTGTGGAGGGTTGCGCAAAACTCTCTGGACATAAACGCTTGCAGTTCCAGGGCAGTAAAACAAATGGAGTGACTCTTTACTTTTGATCAGAACCTAAATGTTACAGTGCCTCGAGGATGCATCGTCAAAGCTAACTAGTTTAGAGAGCTACAGCGCAAATCTGTTTAAGAGCTCAGAGGGAAATAGATCAGACGTCTTTACAGACATTCACATTCACACGCAAACTGTTTGTTCATCTCTGCCACCGGGGACATACAAGGTAAAGCGGCAATAAAAACAGCGGCCCTGGAAATGTTCACATGACATGCCACTGAGTGGACCTATCTCATCCAGCCAGTGGTATCCTTCAATTGTATTAAGCACAGCGAAAACAGAGAGAAGGGTGAGATGGAAATGTAGTTCAACTAGGCCCGAGTTTATGTTATTTTGTATTAGAACATCATTCCCCCTAGTTAGCCGATCTATGGGCTGTTTTCTTTACTGCCATCATTTAGGCTAACCATGTGCTATAGCTAGCAATAACAGGACACCAACTCCAAACAAAAGCTCCACTACTATAGATGAACAATCTGCATTGCGTTACTGACGCCTGGATTTCAATGTCTTGTCACTTTCATGACACTGACGCCTGGATTTCAATGTCTTGTCACTTTCATGACACTGACGTCTTTCTCCCTTTACAAGCCTGGGTCTCGCCAGCTCATCAGGCCCTGAGGAGGTAAAGATCAGTCCAGTCCACAGTGAGGCCTTGAACCTCCTTAACCCTCCCTCAACTTCCTTCACCCTCCATTTTGTGATTGGTTTCACTTCCGCTGGTGCTGCACGGTGGTGACTCGTGTCTCTCAAACAAGCCAGCATTTTTTTTGTGGGGGGGGGGTTTCTTGTTCTGCTGTAGTTTGTTGAGATGCAAGACACATTTCCCGAAAGGGACACACGATAAATAATTATTAAGTGCCCATTATCTTGAGTCGGCAATCAAGGTGGGCATCAAAGGACCAGAGTCTTATCAAGAGTAACTATCCCATTTGAATTATTAGACAGTTGTCCACCAGATAGTTTTTGCAATACCCTCCAGTCTACTTGCTCTTGTAATATAATAATGATATGCCATTTAGCAGACGCTTTTATCCAAAGCGACTTACAGTCATGCGTGCATACATTTTTACATATGGGTGGTCCCGGGGATGGAACCCACTACCATGGCATTACCAGCACCGTGCTCTACCAACTGAGCTACAGAGGACCAACAGCAGTGCCTCTTGTCCAGAAGTGACATGAAGTCATGGTTAGCAGACTTAATAGAGCGCATAACATTAAGTGGAAGCAAGGCCAGCTAGCCATGGGACCACTAGTCTCAACACAATTTTCTTTCATCCAGTTTTGTGCCAATAATAGCTATCTGGGTGCAATACAATAATTTTTTTTTTTTTATCGGAACATTTTAGCAATATAATTTGTATGATTTCATTAAACTACCACTGCAACGGTTAATCACCCAACAACTTTCAACTTTACATAAAACTATCTAGGCATATGCCATCAATGGCTACTAAAGCATTCTATACGGCTTGCAGAATTTTTGCTATTTTTTTTAGCTTCCATTAAATAAATGGCTTGAAGCGGTTGCTTCGGTCAATGCCGAAACGGTTATTGGCTAATTTTAACCAACTGGTCCTGCTGCCCCAAACCAAGTGAAAGTGGGCTGCTTTAACAAGAGGTCACAGAGGCTTCCAAAGCCAATGCTATCCAGCAGCTTGACTGGCTGCTAATGAGGGGTGATATTTGTCTAAGAGGTCAAATGCCTAGAAGATAGGGTCAAGGCCCTAACATCTTAAGCCATGACCTTTCCCACATGTTGAGTGCTCCTGTGATAGCGACACCCGTTGCCGTAAATTACCCCTGGCCACGCTGCCTGCTCTGGAGTCAAAGGGGGGCCCGCCCTGACACCACATTGTTCCTAAAGATGACAGACGATGCGAGCTTGTGACGGTTGAACAACGCACGGAAAGCCCTGGTTAAAGACTGATATCCCAGCCCATCCCCTCCCACACACACACTCGCCACTAAATAGGGTTAGGCATGTGGCATTACATCACAAAACTCTCCCAAGAATAGAAGAGTAAGCCTAAAGATAAAGATAATAAAATGCTAATTAAGTTGTAAACTTTGCAAGTATTCATACACTTTGCAAGAATTTGCACAATAGTTGTTCTTGAGAATTTTAATACCCTGATAATAAAAGTGCTCTACTAAGTTTGCTGTTAAAAGGGTTGGTGGCAGGATAGTGTTGGCACGGGGGTGACAAGTCCCCTTCTACCACCCCTTGCACCGGCAGCAGTGGGGGATACATTTAATTACTGACTTCAGCTGAAAAACCCCACCTTCGGCATCGGTGGATGAGGTCATCTCTCTTTAGATGGCTTTTAATCAACAGAGCTCTAGAAATGCTCCACTGCTTTAAATAAGACACAGGAAGAAACCTGATCCTGTGGGACGAGGCGACGAGAGAGATAAAGAGAGAGAGAGAGAGAAAGTGACGGGGAGAGAGAGAGAGAGAGAGAGAGAGAGAGAGAGAGAGAGAGAGAGAGAGAGGAGAGAGAGAGAGAGATAGAGAGAGAGAGAGAGAGAAGAGAGAGATCGAGAGAGAGAGCAGAGAGAGAGATTGAAACGCGGTGAGAGCGAGAGCGGAGAGAGTAGAGAGAGAGAGGAGAGAGAGGAGAGAAGAGAGAGACGGAGAGAGAGGACTGAGAGAGTGAGGAGAGAGAGTAGAGAGAGAGAGGAGAGAGAGAGAGAGAGAGAGAGAGAGAGAGAGAGAGAGAGAGAGATGCTCTGTGGGCACCATCTCTTTCTTCTCCCTCTTGCTCTGATTCACAATCAAGGCCGAAAAAACATCTAACTTCAGCTATCAGAATGCTGGCGAGAGCAAAGCGCCCATGAATAGGCTTACAAATTATAAAAGCTGGCAGAATGGGTTTTCCATTTTAGCCACAATGAGCCTCAGCAAATTGTATACTGAACAAAAATATAAATGCAACATGTAAAGTGTTGGTACCATGTTTCATGAGCTGAAATAAAATGTTATTGACGCACAAAAAGCTTATTTCCCTCAAATTGTGTGCACAAATTTGTTTACATCCCTGTTAGTGAGCATTTCTCCTTTGCCAAAATAATCTGTCCACTTGACAGGTGTGGCATATCAAGAAGCTGATTAAACAGCATGATCATTACACAGGTACACCTTGTGCTGGGGACAATAAAAGGCCACTCTAAAATGTGCAGTTTTGTCACACAACACAATGCCACAGATTTCTCAAGTTTTGAGGGAGCATGCAATTGACATGCTGACTGCAGGAATGTCCACCAGAGCTGTTGCCAGAGAATTTAATGTTCATTTCTCTACCATAAGCCGCCTTCAACGTCGGTTTAGAGAATTTGGCAGTACGTCCAACCAGCCTCACAACCGCAGACCCTGTGTAACCACGCCAGCGCAGGACCTCCACATCCGGCTTCTTCACCTGCTGGATCGTCTGAGACCAGCCACCTGGACAGCTGATGAAACTGAGGAGTATTTCTGTCTGTAATAAAGCCCTTTTGTGGGGAAAAACTCATTCTGATTGACTGGGCCTTGCTCCCCAGTGGGTGGGCCAGTCTCCCAAGAGGGTGGGCCTACGCCCTCCCAGGCCCACCCATGGCTGCGCCCCTGCCCAGTCATGTGAAATCCATAGATTAGGGCCTAATGAATTTATTTCAATTGACTGATTTCCTTATATGAACTGTAACTCAGTAAAATTGTTGAATGTTGCGTTTATATTTTTGTCCAGTATATTTGAGACAAATTGTATCTGTACCTAAAAATGTAAGTGCAAAAAGAAACTTTGGAAATTAGTGTCAATGTTTGACTTGTCTACACCAACGAGCACTTGAATTTAATGTTTTATGTGTTTAGCATATTGCTAATCAGGGATTTCTTTGTGTCCTATTAGATCGTCATTGACTAAGCTGTTTGTGGTATTCATGATGAGGTCCATTATGCAGAATTTGAACAAAAATCCTCCAAAGGCCTACACTTTTGTGCTTGGCCCAAGTTAAAATGAGCTCCCATTCCAGCCCGATTAAAACCTAGTACTGCACAGCTCCCACAAGGGAATCAATCCTATAGGCTTATTCCAAACATTAAAAGCTCCATTCAGATATTTGGCCAAAATCACTACACAACTTTTTTAATTTACATTTGACGACTTTCGATGCAAAAATCTGCAAAAACTGAACAAAAGCTTTTTAAAGAACAACAACATTGACAGTATGATGCTATAGGAATGTAAAAGTAGGAACACATTACACCTAGCTCACTTAAGCTTCCATTTGTTGGAGAGAAGAAATTATTGTAATTAAGGTGCTTGGTTTGCCTGGTGAAACAGAGCACTTCCAAACCTTGCAAGTGAAAGCTGGTGTTTGTGTTGCTGTTAGTGGAGGAAGAAGCCCCTGCTTGAAAGAGTGAAGCCAACTATGTACTTTACATTGGCCTGCACTCTCTGATAAGGTTCATTTGACCCGCTAACCCCATCCGAGTGTTTTTATTTTCGATTAACAGTACAACTTTATCACACATTCCATTTCTTATGATCACATGGAGTGAGGCCAACATTTACGCAATTCCAATTTCTAACAAATGTTGACTTGTTTAGAGAGTTGAGAAACAAAAAAGAGAGACTTACCTGCATGCACAAAGTAGGCCAAGTAGAGGTCGAGCTCCTTTACAGAAACTCCAATGTGATGAGGCTGCACACACAGCCCTGGGTTCGAGCACTGTGGGGACTTTACCAGCCTTTCGCCATCAGTACTTTCAAGGGGAATACCTTTGAATAAAATCACCATGACCAGGTCCAACCTCCAGACTTTGTCTGCCTGGCGCAGACAGTCGATCCTCCTCATCTTGCCCTTCTGGTCGGGGTTGGACAGCACGCAGCACGGGGGCTTCTTCCCGGTGACGGTGAGCACAAAATCCTCCCGGAACTCTGGCCGAATGTCCTTGCGGAGCTTGGCCAAGAGGCGTGATGCCCACTTCTGCTTGACCTCAGGCTTCTCGCTGAGCAGCTCGTCCTTGACTGCACGCTCCTCTTCCTTAGACATGCGCTTCTCATGCTTCTTGAAGTACTTTCTCTTGCGGGCCTGCAGGTTGAACCATGTGTAGGCAAACGCTCGCACGTGGGGCAGCAGAGCTTCAATGAAAGGATGGAATTCATCCTGTGGAAGAGACGACCACAGGATAAAATAATTATGAATGATTTGGTGGTAACATACATTCATAGTGAAACACTTTTTTTATGTAATCGAATAAATGACAAAGCAGCAATCATCATTACAATTAATCTTGTGAAATCAGATATACATTGAGTAAACACTAATTTACTTTTATCTGAAATATGTAGGAATGCAATAAAGAACATGCACTACTACTCTTTGATAGAATATCATTCAAAAAATGACTTTTTAGAAAACAAATAATATGCAATGTCTGCCACGTTTGTATTTATGATTATTTATGTCCTTTTTTTGCGCTTGGGCCATTCTATTAACATAAGGAGAGCGGGCTAACGGAGGAGTTTCTCTGGGCCGTATGGACAAAGAGGGAGCAGTGTGAAATAGGGCCTGTCTAGGCCATGTCTTGGCTCTCTGGCAAGAATGTGGGTCTGTGGGGGTCTGCCAGAGAGGACATAGAAAAAGCAATAACCGAGTGGGAAAGCTGAAAGTCTATTTTTAACTGTTTGCCATGCAAACATATATGCGTGAGCAAACACACACACACACACACACACACACACACAAAGAGATGTACAGGCAAAAACGTTTCGCTCAGAAAACTGTTCCAAGGCTGGTACATTCTATGGGTTTTTAGCAGGGAGAGCTGCCTGCACAGCTATTAGAGCAAGAATGTGGATAGATGGCATGTTGTGGATCAGTCCGTTACACCTGCTACTAGCACAGTCACACACTGGACAATATGCTCCCTCTCAAAATCTGGCCTCACAACATAAAACAGGCCATGGAAATGTTACAGCACCACCCTACGCCAGAACAAAGCAGCACCATGCAACCAGACAACAACCTCTGAACTACTCTCTCATATTTCAACTAGTCTCGTGTCTGCAAACTCACACTGGAATATTTTCGAGGAACAAAGAAATTGTAATAATAGATAAATGACCACTACCATTAAATCTATTGAACTGACGATCACAATGACGACACAATGTTAGTCCCACTTTACTGCATGGACATTTTAGATAATTACAGTATATAAAAAAGAAACACAGCTGAGCTACCAAAGAGATGAAAGGTGCCTAAACTCCTTTGTAAAAATCATTATTATGTACTAAAAGCGTTCATTGCCGAATGAGAAAATAAAAGAGCACTGGAACCTGAAATCTTTACCTTTAAATTAAACAAATACCTCCGGACATACGGATACACCGTTTTAACTCAAAAGTATAAGTGTGCCAATTCCAAGCACTCCGTTTCAATTTTGTACCAGCATGCCACACTAGATCATGCTATAAGCAACAGAGCAGATATGCTTCTCTTCTAGGTGAGTTGTTACATGCATATGTACAGTGAGTACATAGTTTGTCTGGACTGTGGGTCACGGCACGGGACTAACAGTACATTTTCAGATGCACCAATGAAATCCAATCAAATGTAATAAACAATAAGAAATCACCACTCCAACAGGGACGTGTTTTAATTTCCCAAACACACTCAGTAGAGGTTAGTGAAGTAATGAGTGGTCTGGAGTAGGCTTCACCTCAGGCCATCTTACCACCCCGGCCATGCAAAATGTGCTCAACTACAAATGTAGGATCTGAATTTGAGCCAGTGCAAAATGTGCTCAACTACAGATGTAGGATCTTAATTTGAGCCAGTGCAAAATTAGCTCAACTACAGATGTAGGATCTTAATTTGAGCCAGTGCAAAATGTGCTCAACTACAGATGTAGGATCTTAATTTGAGCCAGTGCAAAATGTAGGATCTTAATTTGAGCCAGTGCAAAATGTGCTCAACTACAAATGTAGGATCTTAATTTTAACCAGTGCAAAATGTGCTCAACTACAAATGTAGGATCTTAATTTGAGCCAGTGCAAAATGTACTCAACTATTCATAGATCAAAGACCTTTGTCCTCATCTTGATATGTGGAAATACTGTACCTCTGACTGGGATGGCATGACACCATCCTTTTCATCGAATTTCAAAAGGACTCACACTCCCTTGTCTCATAGGCATGAAAATGGTATCGTTTTGAAAACCAGTAAATGGCGTCTCCAACTGAAGTTATTTCAGCCAATGTGCTATGAAATATAACTTCTTCATGGCTGATATGTGAATTGTTATTTGTGGTTTCTGTATATAATATACAGTTCCCCTGTCGCTGGGCCATTTGAACAATACCTGCATAGTCTACATTTGCCTTCTTGTTGCTTTTCAACATTAATAAAACACACACGCACAGGTGCCTCAACCATTTTATATATAGGCCTCATTTCAATATATATAATCTGCTGCATTTCCACTAACAAACCCTAGAATAGTGTATATTTACTGATAAAAGTGTGTCAGTAGACATGTTAAGTTAAACTTCCAGCTATGAAGTTTGTTTTCTTTCTGTACACTTTGGTGACAGATCTAATGTTTCCAAATAACAGGCCTGTAACAACAGCTCATGAATAACTGTAATTTAGAATAGAAGCAATGATGGTAATCCCCTCCTACTGACACCCACGCCACAACACAGAGGTACTTATGAGAGTGTGTCGACGAGCTTACTTTCTCCTCTCCATGCCCACAACAGTAAACAGACTCAAACAGAGCAGACCATTGCTAATCAAATTGGAGCAATTGCACAAAGGCAAATCTTCCTGCTTTCACTAAGTTGCTGCGGACTCAAACACCCTCATGTAGGCTGTAAGGGGCATGTTTTTCCAAACTCATGCAATGTGCACAACTGTTTCTGTCCTCGCATCTCCTCCATGTCTAGACACAAACGGTACCATGTGCCTCAAAGACAGTACGCAAAGACACATTTTGGCAATTATCAATAGTTTTTCTACGATTGCACAAAGAATGTCAACGTTAAATTCTAGGTATAATATTTAATGCTTTGCAGTGAACAAAAAATATGGAAGTGCTTTAGGCATGCCTGTCTTGTATACGATTCGACCCACAAAAAACTTGGCAGATATGCCAAATATAATTGAATCAATTGAAAGACTTTGATAAGCATTTTTGCCCAAATAAGATGATAATACACACAGTGTTTTTGTAATATATCATTCAACTGTCAATACTTCATTTGCCAATTAGAACAGATTCTGTTTTATACATCTGAGATTAATTGTAGTACATGTGAATTCACCTAGTCATGTTTTAAGAAATAAAAAACAGATCCAGGCAAAATTAGGATGAATAAATATGTGAGACATTTCTCCAAATGTCCCTTCTCAAGTTAGTGTCCATCAACTAATATCAGGTTTCAGTCTTCTCCTTTGGGCCCATTTCAGTTATGCCTTAAAGTATATGCACTGTACATTCTTATGAAATATTAATAGATAAATATTCAGGACTTATCAGTAATCCTTGGCACTAGAGGTAAAGGAGCACTAATGGTTTTGAAATGGTCTTCCATTGTAAAGGTTGGCAAGTCCAGGACCAGAACCCATCATTGCTATTAAGTCAGGTACTTGTCATTTACATCAATTTGCACCAATAATGTGGTCATATTGACAAAATGTTAGAAAAAAATAGGCTTTATCCCAAAATAATAATGAAAAGTACATGTATGAAAACATGAAATCAATTTAGGGAAATATTATCAAAACTTAAATGATGTTGATAGTTAAATACAACTGATTTGAGACAAGGCCAATAGATAGGCCTATTGGTGGCCAATATTAAATCAATTTCAAAAACTTAAACACTTGCATCCATTCTACTGTGGCCTTATGCAGCTATAGCCAAATAAAAGAATTCCGCACACACAAAAAATCCATCCGAACTTTTACAATTCAGTTTCTGCCCTCCAATAATGAGAAGAAACAGAAGAAAAAAAATCTATGTTGTTATAACATTGTAATATGTGAACAATTATAGCTACAGTTAATAAGTGCGTTTTTTCTCTGTTAATTTAAATGCGTATATAGGTCCTCCGTTCTGTCACCTCACCAAACCTGTAACACTATGTCTGGAATATAGATAGACCTTTTCTGCGTCTTCCTAACACGCAGCTGCAACTTTCCTCCTGGAAATCTTCCATTTAGCCCAGGCTACACGTATGGAGAATATCTTCTCATCTTAAAACAAACCCATAACTGTATTATGATACATTTGCTAAAATGATATTTAGATATTTTAGGAAAGACAGATCCGATAACACTTTTAAACATTAACGACATGGATATGCAACTGATCATTTAGCAAGCTATTCCACTAGCGTTCCCACCTTGAATAACTTTTGGTCTTCAAACCACCATATTTCGGGCTATGAAACTCAAACAATAATAATTCAAGTCCAAGAAAAGACAACTATCTTGTAGCACAGAAAGTTGTTGAATAATTCTTAAATATAATCGAAGCTCTTGAGCAAGTGCATGCTACATGTCACTCATAGAAGAAAAAAAATACTATTCATAAAAATCGAATATAATAGTAGCCTAGTAGCCTATTTGAAATGTCCCAACTTGTGTTTTCCCCGTGCACATGGCTCACGGCAAAGTTCAATGCCAGAGAGTGGCTAAGTTTAATGCCAGAGACTGGCGGGGACCCGATACAGTGGAACAGTTGTAAAGAAATGCAGCAACATTTTAAATTCATAAAAGTTGCTGCTGCCAAGAACAACCAAAATCGAAAGCTTACAACACTGATCCTAATTTTGAATATTTTTGGATTCAATTTAGACCCAGCAAATTGCTGTCTTTTAAATATCGTGTTCAAAGCAGTAATCGATAAAAAGTGACAACTGCATAGATGTTAAACACCCAAAGTGCAGGGATCTGGAAGCCGGCGAGGGAAGCTTTGGAAAATGATGTACCCATGTTAAAACATAGCGTGCATTCATTCATATCAAATATGTGGAAAGACACGCCGATAGCACCGTGCACATGTAATTTATAGGAAAGGTCACCTTCATTTTTTGATTGAAACTATGGATACAAAAAGTAGTCCAAGTTAAAGCGCGGTTGACACCGAGATAGGCTATGTCTAACATGAACTAAAATAGACATGCATATACGTGTGTATATATATATGTAGGAGGTA